AAAAGGCTGTTTTCTTTGAATTTATTGTAATCGACCGAAGATATAATGAATTCGACAACAAATTCGACTTTTGGCGAAAACAAACTGGCGACCACAGTGGGAGCCAACGGTCTCGCTGCCGAGACCGTCGTGTCGCAGCCGATCAAGATTCCAGTTGAATCCATGGTCGAATACGAATTCGACCAAACCAAGTTTGAGGAATATCTCTCATCATCCTCTTCAAGATCTTCATTATCTCGCAAGTACAAGAAGATCTCACAATTGAGGAAGACTTACATGCCAAAGAAGGCACAAAATGAAGATTCTCGCTTGATTAAGAAGCTATCTAAGTGGACAAAGATATTCTTTCCACCTCCACCTTGCTGGCAAATCCTTCACCACCGCTAGCCGCCGCTTCCAACTCCATCTCACAGGCCAAATCTCTATTGCCTCCAATTAACTCCAATTAAAATTTAGTCGAGTAATTTTATGTGAGTATTTTTTTTTGGGTAATTTTGGCCGAGTAAATTTATGAAACAGTTACAATTGACCCTTATATCAAATTAGATTGAGTGTACCTGATATTGCTTTTAAGTTTGGAGTTGCGTGCTCTAATGATGGACGAGTTGTTTGTTTGTAAATTATAGTAATATATCCTATTAATTTTCACATGTACGATATTTATGTGCAACTAAGCCGCTTGAATTTGAAAACATATTTAAATAACTTCTTGGAATTATAATGTAACATGTGAAAAGGATAAATGAAACTATCTTTGAAGTGTCATCTTGATAAGCAGCTGAGGAAATAAAGATAATTACCACAATGTGTTTTAATCTAGATGCGATAGTAATACATGTGGGTTAGAGAGAGCATCACCATTGCCCTATTTAATTCAGTCTATCTTATTTTGGTTAGTATATATGGTTTTGATTCTATGTTAATTTTGTTACTTTGGCCCTTTTAAATTTTCAGTATTAGTTACTATATATATTGCAACAAAAGCACATGTAAAGTTTTGAACTTTATTTAAAAATCTATTCATCAAGGTTGTATAGTATTATTGTAGGCGACTGATCTGTGTGTGGTTTGGTTGAACTTTATTTTAAAATTTATTCATCAAAGTTGTATACTACTATAATAATAAAGCAATCTACATTATATATATTGAAATCAAAAGTACAATTATGTTACTAACTAAATCTTATTTTTGTTTTTTGGGTAGAAATACAACGTCTGTTCTTCATTCCACATTAACATCAACTTAGAGAACTGAAGGTATGATATATCTTTTGTAATTAGTTTTCCTTGGTATGTTCTGATGATCTTTGATGCACTGCTATGCTAAGAGAAGTGAAATATTTTTATTAGTCATGCTATTCTCTTACTTGCATCAAGAGGTTGAAGATAAATTACAAAATATCTTTTTTAATATTTTTATTAGTCATGATATTGAATCAAACTTGATCAACTATTTGAACGAATAAAAAAGTAAATAGCACCCCTATACTTCACATCTAAAGCAGAATATTTTATTTTGGTAACATGTCTTGCAGAAAATCTTTTAGGAACCGTGCTTTGCACGGGTCTAAATACTAGTTAAAATGAATATGAAAAATTACTAATAACCCCTAGAAAATTAAATTTTTACAAAAAAATATCATACACCTTTTAAAAGTATAGGTTTAGGAAGAACTTTTCATGGTCAATATTACACATAACTATTTTGAAAAGAACATAACTAATTAAAAATATATTACATTTGAAATTTATAAAAAACACCCTTAAATTTTAGTACGTTACAAATTACCCCTCCAAAGTTTGAAATTTTTAATGATCTTTTGTAATTCCTTACTTTCAATGTAATGTTTAATAGTTTTGTGTATTTGTAAATTATAAAATTTTATGGTATTTTTTTACAATTTTTAAAACTTTTGAGGGTGTTTATTTTGTAGTTTTCTAAATTTTCATTGTGTTTTCAGTGTAATGCACATATATGTCAATCAACAATGATATTGAACAGTAAGTCGTTCTTAAGATTATTAGACTATAGTTAAGTGTGCACATCACTATTCCTAGACAGTATAGTTTATATATGCAAAAAATTTCAGACAATTTATATAGTGGTTAAAAAGATTTTGACTTTAATGTACTATTTTTTACAAATTATATTTAATGTGAACCCGTCATATAATTTTGGCTGTGGTCATCATAATTTTAATACATTTGATTGGTTGACTATATACGTATATAGAATATAGATTACTTTACTTTCCCACATGAGCTAATATTTGGTACTTAATAATTTAAATTATTATTTTTAAATTTAATATAAAGAGGAGCTCTAATGATATTTATTTATTTCGAGCTCTAATGATATTTATTTATTTCTCCATATCATAATACAATCTCAATTCATATTTTTTGCTTGAGATTTATTCCTTAGTTACGCGTATCATATTAGTAACTAAAATAATAATTATTTAAGCTTAAATTAGGATGATTGTAGTTGGTCACTCACTATGAAGTTTTTATAAAGATATATACCTTATTTTTTATAACTATCTGCATTGCCCATGTATATTTTATAAATTAGTTCTTAATTTGACATATTAAATTATTTTTCTTTGTAGAAATTTCTTCTTTAACTTTTGGACTGTGTAATTACTATATCACCATTCTAGCGTAAAAAGGACCTCACGTTAAATGGCTTCAAGCTAATATTTGTGTTAAACTAAAGTATATATTATTACTACTATGTGTATATATTTTTTAAGAAAATCATATGAATACTTTTTAAACAGAAAAGAATATTCTAACCTTTTATATTATAAAAACTAAATATAGCCAATTAAGTGATTAGCAAAAGAGAGCATACATCAAAAAAATATGAATAATTAAATAAAGAGGAAAGGTAATGACATTGTCAACAGTACTACAAATAGCAAAATACAATATAAAATTAACCAATTTTGTGAAGCCAAACTACTGGCTATAAGCATTGAGGTTTTTATATATATACTTCATAATTTATTAAAAAAGGACATATAATCTTATATAATAAAATTAATTTAATATTAAATAGTAATATCGTTATTAGGAAAAATTCTTCATGAACCAATATGTTCTTTACGATATATAAGCTATGCACTCTAAATTCTTGTTTCTTTTATAGAGCCAAAAAGTTTGAATACGAACCACTAACATGTTGCTCTCACAATAACAAAATTCACTTAGCAGATGTGGATATTCCAGATAAGTTATGTGTCCTATATACAGTACAATTGCCCTAAGCAAGTGAGTTATAATAACATTTTTTTATCCATATTGTTTGGGGTAAGATTTGCTAGGGACCTTGCATCAAAAAATTTATATTTAGAGCACATGACGAAATATATCATAATCTCCCTACTCTAATTTCGCAGAAAATAATTCTTCATACTTTTAGTTTTACTTCTATGATACAGATAATGAGCTATAAAATTGAATGAGAATATTAGATAATATAAATATGAACATAACAACAACTAAAAGTTAACGTGAATATGAGTCGAACCACAACTAAAATTTAATGGATATATTACAAGTAAATTCATATGCAAAATTCCTTTGTGAATTGAAAGATCACATATCTTTTAAAGACTTCAAGATACTAATAAATAGAGATGTTGTACTAGATTAATGTATTTATAACTCATAAATAGTAGATCACGTGTGGCCACAGTCTCGATTGAAGGAGACAATGACAATATTTTATTTGAGAGAGTGATTATTGAGTTGATAATCAATCCCACAAAATAGTTTATTTTTATTTTAACTCTATTTTTATCAATTTAAATAATCAAGATATTCCACCACGTGCATTGCACGTACATCTCAACTAGTGTGTATATATGACTTTATTAAAAGATTTGGTTATTTTAATAGAATTAACTTAGTCGTTGTAAAAATAGTTCTTCATAATTATGATGCATAAATCTGTAATTTGAATACTTCATTGAGACTTGCAACTCTGAGTGTAGAATCTAAGTTAAAAGATACAAGGAAATTGGACCATAAGATCATCTGTGTTATTAAAGAATTAAATTTTCAAAATTACATTATTATAAAAATGAAAGAATATTTTTAAATGCTCATATTTTATATTATTTAATGTAGACATGTCTGTGGATATATCGTATTGAATTCTGTAGGATGCGAATATGTAAGTGAAAGATCAGGATCCATTATTTAATGTAGAAATAAGAAAAATTACACATCAATACAAATTGGATACTCTGTAATCCTATATATCTCATATTCTTTTGTACCCATGTGCAGTATTTCGTATCTGTATTCCATTATGGTGGATATGGATATTAACATTTTTTATTAGAATGTATCCGCATTTATATCTGTATCATATCAAAGATGTATCTAGAGCTGACTGTGGGCCGGGACGACCCATGGGCTGACCCGGCCCAATCCGTCATAGGTCATGACCTGGCCTGACCTATAATGAGCCGGCTTCTACTCCGCCCATGATATACCCAAGTCACGGACCGGGCTAGGTTTAAATTTAGACTCATGATCAGAGAAGTAGGACCGGCCTATGTCTGACTTGGCCCGGCCCACGCCCGACCCG